TACGTGGAATACTACGTCATTTCTATTCTGTATTTTAGGGGATCGCTACATCATAAGTGATTATTGTTAGATTATTAAAATTTAGAATGTTCGATTTTATTTTTACCTTTTGCCTGCGATAGAAATTCAATTGCGTTAGAAAATTCGAAGGCTGAATAACTTGCTGTGCTGTTCCCAATGATTCAGCGATGTCCAATTAAAAGTTACAAAACGAACATCACATTAACGCAATATTTTAATTGTTAATTGCTTTTAGTTAACTTTACATCGCTGAATTCTGTTGGCAATGAAGTATTAATTAATATTTTTTGTCCTATTTTAATATATGAAATCTTGATGAAACTGACTAGTAGTAATAAATAAATTTCGCCATTTTGTAGCGAAACAATTTTCTTCGTTTTTCCTGCCCCTAAGAGAAACTCGCGAAGTAAAATGAAAAACTACATCTATACCATTCGAAGGTAACGGAACTTGTTCATTTTTCCAATTACTTGCGAGAAGTATTCACAAACTTTACCTAATTCTAAACGCCGGAGAGTGATTTACTCTCTCAACGAGAGTAAATGCAATCTCTCCCAGTGGTGGAATTTCTTTTCTCCCCCGACAGTACGCACTGCTAATCGAATTTCAGAGTAAATTCGAAACCATCTGTTACCGGTTGTACGAAATTTTTTTTCTAAACGATCAACGTATACAACTGTACACTTATAAATTGTGTGTATTTTTACGAAGGGAAGATAAGGATAGATAATTTGAACAGAGATTGTGTCATTGCCTAGCACATTTTGAAAAATTGCGATTCATTGTATAATGAAAAATAACGTATGAAAATTGTTGACGATTTCACTTTATTTTCATTTTAAAGTTGACCAGAGAAATTAAACATGTTTCATTTGTATTACTTAACTTTCCAACCACCGTTTCATCAAATGTCAATTTTTCGAAGATATGAAAAATATTTTAGACAAAAAAAGTTTCTTCTTTTTCACAAGAAAAAAAGAAATAACTTCGAAGACGCGTAACAAATAAAAAGCAAGTCGAAACTCTGGAACTTGAAGAATAAATGCTAATTAAATTATAAATGCTAAGACAACAATTCGAGAGAAGTGCAGTACGATTGGTTTATGTTCATGTTGTATTTTTATTCTGAAGTATATTTACGAGGTGGATGAAGTTATTCAATTCTAAAGTACTTCTCTGAACTTAACCCCCGTAAGTATACATATTTCGCATTTATTCACTGCTGTTGTCAAGCATATAACTTTGTTCTCTGAAAGTATGATATTTATATACACTGTCAATCGAAAGTCAAAGTTCCTTTTGTCCATCTTTCCTGTTAAAACAAAAACACGTTACTCCTGCTTCACGAAATCTTTATATATCCCGTTGGAGTTGTTAGCCGAAAAACGTTTGAATCTCGTTTTCGAATAAATTGACTAACCGAGGCGAAACAGAATGGTGGAAAGCAACAGTGGCATTGTGAAAATCAATCGAAGCATTATTAGTTTTACTTGCTAACGAGTTGGGGGTCGAGGAAGCACGAGGTGGGCCGGTGAGAATCGAAGAAAAGACCTAACCCCTTTGCACATTAGTTTTTCGATATCGACAGGGAACAACGGGAGCAACGGGTCGTTGGCGGTAGGGCAATCGGAATATCGAGAAACGTTTGCCGGATTGGCAGCTAGCCAGGTATGGATTGCTAACTGTCCAACGACGATGATAGAATCCGCACCGGAAGAATCCCGTGGATCTATCTATCTTCGATCCAGGCTGCATCTCCTGACCGTGCCCGGAATATCCAAAAAAAAACGTAGACTCACCTAGCAAAGGGTTTTCGTTTGCGCATCATACTGCAAAAAGCAAAAGTATTGCAAATAAAGTAGAACAAAAAATATCAGTCATTCCTTTTCTTTTTTTGTAAGGAAACTATATTAACTGTCTACTTTATCTAAATTTGGGATTAAGCGTGTTACATCTTTAAATACGATGAAATATGATAGAATAAAATAGCTGGTTCTAAGTCGTATAGTATAGAGTGTGGGATTTTTACCAGCTCGCGATCAAGATTACACAGCTATATAATATATAATAAAGAAAATTTTTAAATTAGAATTTTTTTTTTTTTCTATAAAATTATCGTTACACTTACTTAGCTGTGAAGACAATAAACATTTTGAACTCTTATAATAAGGGTAAAATGTGCAAATTTTTATACATATTTTTTATACGTATTTTGAAGGAAAAAACAATTTTTCAATTGTATTCACTAAATTGTAACGAATTCTCATACGTATTTTCGTTATTTTCAAACACCTAACGTGCTGCACTCCTCCCTTGTTCGATTCTCTGGATCGAAACATTTTATCCTGCGGTTCTGTTTCCCTGTAAAATGTCAACTACTTCCGCTTCTACCTAGCAGCGACGCGACGTTCCTTGGATACGAAGATAGTAGGCATCAGATATTTCCTGTTCGGTGTGAAACAGCGCTGCCAGCGTTGGGACGCATTTCCTATGAATTAAACATGCGATGGATTCAAGCGAGGAAGGGTGCAAACAAGATTCGTAAATTCATTTTCGTAGCCGACACGAAATGCAGTGCACGAGCTCGTCACGGGGAAAGGTTTAGGTTTAGGTTTAGGTTTGGACTTTGAGACCCGTCGCTCTGGCGAGGAGAATGTAAATTTTTAAGGGGCTCGACTTTTCGACTGACCTCCGAACGAATTGGGAACGAATGTGGAAAAAGAGGAAAAAGGAAATAAGAGACGAGAGTAAAATCCTGAGAGACGTTTAACACTCGTGAATATATTTAATATTCAATCAATATTCGAGCAGCACTAACGATCGCGTGCGATCGTTGCGCATATTTTGTCGGTGCAAAATTTTCTTTTGATCAAACGCAATGTAATCAGACAGGATTTCTGATGTATCGTAAACCATAAAGC